GGAGGTGAAGAGCTTGGACATGGGAGGAGATGCAGGAAGGTCATGGTGATCCGGAGGAACCCATGGGATGAGTTAAGAGCCTGGACATGGGAGGACATGCAGGAAGGTCATGGTGATGTGCAGGAACCATGGGATGGGAGAGGGAGGTGAAGAGCTTGGACATGGGAGGAGATGCAGAACGGTCGTGGTGATCTGGAGGAACCTGCAGGATGAGATGGAGTTAAGAGCTTGGATGTGGGAGGAGATGCAGGAAGGTTGTGGTGATCCAGAGGAACCCATGGGATATGAGAGGGGAGTTAAGAGCTTGGACATGAGAGGAGATGTAGGAAGGTCATGGTGATCCGCAGGAACCAGCGGGATGGGAGACAGGTGAAGTGCTCGGACACAGGAGGAGCCATGGGAAGGTCACGGTGATCCAGAGGAACCCACGGGATATGAGAGGGGAGTTAAGAGCTTGGACATGGGAGGAGCCATGGGAAGGTCACGGTGATCCGGAGAAACCCACGGGATACAGAAGGGATGGGAATCCCAGGACGGATGAGGCTGGAAGGGACCCCCAGGGCTCCCCCAGTGCAGCCCCATTCCCAGGCCTTTCCCGGGGATATTTTAAGGCATTATTTAGCCCAAACGCCCCCAAAACCCGAGGCGAATCCCGCCTCACCGGGAAAGATTCCCCCAAAAGCCAGTGCCGTCCCGCGGGAACGGGAAGCAAAATTCCTCCCGGGAAGCGGGAATAAATCAAGGAGGAAGAGACTGTGCACATGGAAGGGAATGCCTGGGCGGCTCCGAAAGCCGAGGGATTAAAGGTTGGAATTGTCCGATCGCCGGCGTTATTGGTGACAAACTGGCAAATTAGGGTTTATCGGGGATAAAATTGCAAAATATTGCAATTTGAGGCTTTATTTCATACCTGTATCTTGCATTTTGAGGTTTATTTAATACCTACATCTTGCATTTTGACACTTATTTAATACCTGCATCTTGCATTTTGATGTTTAATACCTATATCTTGCATTTTCACATTTATTTCATACTTGTATCTTGCATTTTGTCGTGTATTTACTACCTATATCTTGCATTTTGACACTTATTTAATACCTGTATCCTGCATTTTGACACTTATTTAATAACCGTGTCTTGCATTTTGAGGTTTAATACCTGTATCTTGCATTTTCACATTTATTTAATACCTATATCTTGCATTTTGCCCCTTTAATCAATACCCATATCTTGCAATTTGCCTCTTTTCCAAACACCTTTATCTTGCACTTTGCCCCTTTTGCAAATACCCATATCTTGCATTTTCCCCCTTTATTAAATATTGCAATCTTGCATTTTGCCACTTTATTTACTACCTATATCTTGCATTTTGATGCTTTATTTAATACCAATATCTTGCATTTTGAGGTTTATTTAATACCTGTATCTTGCACTTTGCCTCTTTTCCAAACACCTTTATCTCGCACTTTGCCCTTTCCAAATAATCCCATCTCGCCCCTTTATTAAATACCTATTTATTGCACTTTGCCACCTTGCTAAATAATCTTGCATTTTGCAAACACCTTAATTTGCACTTTCCCACCTCAATTTGGCCACTTTATTTCACACCTATACAATGCATTTTGCCATTTTTCCAAATTTCTGAATCTTGCACTTTGCCACTTTTTCAAATATCTATATATTGCATTTTGCTGCTTTATTAAAAACCTTTATCTCGCACTTTGCCTCTTTTCCAAATACCCAAATCTGGCACTTTGCCCCTTTATTAAACACCCATATCTTGCATTTCCCCCCTTTATTAAATACTGCAATCTTGCATTTTGCCACTTTTTCCAATATCTACATATTGCATTTTGCTACTTAATTAAATCCCTGCATTTTGCTCTTTGCCACTTTTCCGAATATTTCTATATTGCACTTGCTCCTTTATTAAAAACCTATAAATTGCATTTTATCCCTTTATTAAAAACCTATAAACTGCATTTTGCCCCTTTATTAAAAACCTATAAATTGCATTTTGCCCCTTTATTAAAAATCTATAAATTGCATTTTACCCCTTTATTAAAAACCTATAAATTGCATTTTGCCCCTTTATTAAAAACCTCTATCTGTCACTTTGCCACTTTTCCAAACACCTTTATCTGCATTTAGCCACATTAATTAATTAATTAATTAATTAATTAATTAATCCCCATTTCCAGCCCTTTTCAGCCCGAGCTGCCTCCGCACCCGGAGATTCCAAGGAGAATTCCCGTTTCTGGGAAGGGGGGAGGCAGAAAGATCCATAGCCCAAAGCGAGCGGCGAGAGGCTCTGCTTTTATCCCCCCAAAAAAGCCCGGGAAGTTAAAATCCCATCGGAGGAACAACGGTAGGTAAAAAAAGCAGGGATTGGATCGGGGATTGGGGATGGAAAGGTGGTTTTTCCAGCCGCGCTTCATCCCGGCAAGGGGGAGGCTGGAGACGGGAATGCTGCAATGGGCTCCATCCCCGCGAGGGGCACGAGGTGCCCGGAATCGCCTTCCCGCCGGGAATTCGGGAGCGGGGATGATGGGATGGGATCATCCCATGACGGGATCAAAGGTTGGCACCGGATAGGGAGCAGGATCCGGATCCTGGAGCGAGGGGGGATCTGGATCCTTCCCGGGCATCCGCGGCCGCTCCAAGCGCCTCCCAGACCCCAGGGCATCTCCGGTTGGGAAAAGGCGGGAACAGAGGTGGCGCCGCTCCGGGAATCCCGGCTTCTCCAGGAATCCCGGCTTCTCCGCCGCCGCTGCTTCCGCTCGGTGCTCCCAAAGGAGCCTGGCCGCTGGGAATGCCGGAAAACCACAAGTTTACGGGGAAACCCCGGCCACGGAGAGCCACCTCCGCAGGGAAGAGGAGGGATTTCCTTGGAAGTTTAACCGGGAGAGGGTCCGGACCAGAACGGGGAGCCCTGTGTCCCCCTTTTCCCTGGGATTTGCTTTCCTGGGGAAGCGGGATGTGGGAGGACGATGGCACAGAGCACACTGAAAGCAAATATATATATCTTTATAAATATATATTTTTATATATATATGAATACTGGGGCGTCTGGGAATAATATGGAAAACTGCAGGAATTGCAGCCTATAATGGGACAATTCTAACAAGCCTGGCAATCGGGATCGGTTTATAGGGAAAAGCCACCGCGATTCCGGCCCTTCCGATGGAGAAAACAACAGGCGCACGTGGGAGAAAACAACAGGCGCACGCGGGAGCCTCCTGTGCATCCCGAACTCCGGTGCTACAGCCGCACAGGAGCCCGCAACAGCCGCCCCGTCACCCGGGAACACCGCTCCGTCAGCCGGGAACACCCGCGAGCCACAACGGTCTCATTGTGAGCGCCCCAATTAGGCGCTCGCCGGTAATTAGGAGCCTAGGTACAACCTGACCCGGTGACGGTGACATCCCGGCGGCGCCACGGAAGCCGTTCCGCCTGTTGAGGGGATTTGGGGTGTTGTCCCGGGGGGGAACAACGGGAAGACTTGGCCTCCAGCATCCCAGAGCAGCAGGGAACCGGCAACATTCCCGATGGGAACCAAATGCTCCCAGATTGACCCTGCAAAACCCGGGGCCGGTCGGGAGTATCCCGGGAAGTTGGCGATTGAAGAGGTTATTTTGGGGAGCGATATTCCTGGCACAGCCACGGCTGGAAAAATCTCCCTGCGAGGCCAAGTTCCGACCTGTGTCTCCCAGCACACGGAAAGCCGGTGGGATTTGGGGATCTCTTCCAGGCTTTGGGGCTGTTTTCTGGGATTTGGGGCTGTTTTCCAGGCTTTCCAGCCCTTTTATTTTCAGGGCTACTTTCCAGGATTTAGGGCTATTTTCCAAGCTTTGGGATTCAGGGCTATTTTCCAGGCTTTGGGATTTGGGCCTGTTTTGCAGAATTTGGGGCTGTTTTCCAGGCTTTGGGATTCAGGGCCGTTTTCTGGGATTTGGGGCTATTTTCCAAGCTTTGGGATTCAGGGCCGATTTCTGGGATTTGGGGCTATTTTCCAGGATTCAGGGCTGATTTCTGGGATTTGAGACTATTTTCCAGCATTTGGGGCTATTTTCCGGGCTTTGGGATTCAGGGCCGTTTTCTGGGATTTGGGGCTATTTTCCAGGCTTTAGGATTCGGGACTGTTTTCCAGGATTTGGGGCTATTTTCCAGGATTCGGGGCTGATTTCTGGACTTTGGGGCCGGTTTCCGGGATTTGGGGCTATTTTCCAGGATTCGGGGCTGATTCCCGGGCTTTGGGATCCGGGGCTGTTTGTCACCCCGCCAAACCCGCCCGGGCAGCGCCTGACGTCCCGGTGCGGGTGACACAGCCCGTGACCAGGGACCTTTATCCCCGGTACGAACAGGCGGTCGCGGTGACACCGGGGACAAACAGGCGGTCAGTGACACCGGACAGGGACCAACGCGGGGGCCGGGGCTGGCAACAAACCGTCACCCTGGGGCCCCCCGTTGCCATGGGGACCCCGTCGCCATGGACACCCCGTTGCCATGGCGACCCCGTCGCCACGGGGTCACCGGGCACCAGGCCACGGGGCCGCCCCAAACACGAGGCTGAGGCCCCCGCCAGGCCCCCGGGGCTCCGTCCGCGCTCGATTTTGGGGGGAAAAAGCGGCATTTTACACA